AGCTCTGGCTGGCAGTATTCTTTGACAAGGCCATGTCCATCATAACTTTGGCCATAAGGGAATCCAAATATCTCCGTCTGTCACGCTTCGAGGGATCTACATACATACATACAGACATACATACATACGTATGAACGTCTTGGCTGTCCAGACAGATTATTTGTAATGGGAAAACTTCAAATGGAATGATCTAAGGAAAGCTCAGATTCTGCCGCCTTTAATTATTAATTATAAATCCATTATTGCATAAATGATTAAAAAGGTTAACCAACTGTTAAGTTGTAGTGTTTCCTTAACTGATAAATTGTCGAATCTTCTATATATACATATGTATAAAACAGGAGGTCTGGTACTTATATTTTCACATTCCGATTGCATATTCCTCAGTTCTGCGGAGAAGTTATTCGCGTCTCTGGGTAAGTGCTGCCGGCTCGAGTGATTGTTTGGCAAATTATAGTTCAGAGACAGAGACAGAGATCTCTGGTGGCAGCAGGCTGCTCAGGGACATGAGTGCATGGTGTCATACCGTCCCGCCCTATGCCACCCTTTGGCCCTTGTCGCTCGCTGCCTTCCTTCGTGGCTCCTCTAGGCCGCACTTGTAACACTTTTCATCTTCATTCTTCATTTTAATGAAATTATTTCCGTATAATTTATTTGCATTACGAAAGAAATGATATAAGTGCGTGGGTGCCTTGGGTTTTCGGTGACTCCAAGGAGGCGGCGGCACAGAAGGACTCGGCTGCATTCATTAAGTGCATCATCTTTCATTTCCCTAGGCGTTGTCAACAAACTCTCTCTCTCTCTATCTCTCTCTTGCTCTTGCTCTTAGTCTGAATCTGCTTGTGCCCCATAATCGTCTGCCTTCGTCATTTTGCAACACGGCGAAAGGGGTTGGAGCATGGGCAGGGGCAGGAGCAGGGAGCAGGGGCAGGGGCAGAAATAGCGACAGAGGCAGAAACAGAAAGAGTGACAGAAGAGGGTACAAATTTATGCTTGACATAGAAACACGAATTTCGCTGACTGACGGCCATTTTATTCTTATTCCCTTCCGTGCCGCTATTTAGCCACCCGACGCGTCGGGGGTATTGTACTTTTGCACCAGGTGCTTGCGCCACATACAGTCTTGACCTGCATCATCAGTCGAGTGTCCGTCAGTTTACATGCCGCAAACTATCCCTTCAGCATTCAACATTCAGCATCTGCTTGGGTTTTGGCACAGACTCAACTTGTGGAGGGGCCTGCATCAATAATCGGGGCTATTCTTCTTGTCAGCTAAGAAATACATACATATCATGCAAGACATCGATCCTGGATCTGTATAATTTTTTGCCACACGTTTGGGTCCTCAAATTTCTGAAAAGTAGGGCTCAGAATCCATACTACAAAATCATTACCTTGTTTTTATACCACCTTTCAGATTCCCATCCCATTGGTAGTCTGCTCAACTATCTGAGCCATCTTATTTCTTTCCTCGATTAAAAGGCATACTTTTGGGGAGCCTGCAACAATTACACTAAATGTTGCTGCCAACCCTCGTGTCAGAAAGTACGAGTATAGCCAAGACACAGAGATGCAAAAAGAATTTGACGAGTGCTCGGCTCAGGTAAGTGCTTATACTGCGTTGCAACAAGAGAAGCCTGGGGGCTGGCTGCAGGGGCACAGGTGCCTTCTTTTGCTAAGGTGAGGTGTGGCATGGTAGGGGCAGATTGCGCTGGGTGCCATGCATCATGATGACGACTCTGTTGACACTTCATAAATACATGAGTTTCAGGCGGAGAGCCTCCTCAAATACACACAGATACACGAGCTTAGATACAGGTGAGTGCCGATCTCTTTGAGTGTGCTAGTACATACATATATATTTATATGTGTGAGTGTGTGTGCGTGCGAGAGTGTGCAAGTGGATCTGAATGCAATTGTTATTCTTCAGTTGCTTACCCTTTAATCCAAGCAAAGGAAAATTGGGGCACTCACGTTCTTATTCTCTGACCAAATGTGTTCCCTGAGTGAAGAATATCCCCAAGGATCTCCTATTTAAACCCTTTGTATGTACACATGGGCAGTTCCTATCTGGCATTACGTTACATGTTGAAAGAAATATTCAAAGAGCCGAAATTTTGAATAAAAAATACCCTTGTTGAATATGAATTGGTTAGCCCTATGTATATTTACCATAAAAATGGCAATAATCGAGCGTACGGCTGTAAAGCTATAAGCCAAAATAAGACCTAAAATTACGTTACACAAAACAGATGTGGATTTCGAGGTTGGGGCAAAATGGCAAAACTCTGCGTAATGGGTAGGTCCATCTGAATACGTATTACGTATACGTATGTATCTCTATATTTTTTGTGGTATTTATGAAATATGTGGAGTTCACTTTCAAAGTTAGTTAATGTAAAAACCTTCCTTTGCTATAATTGCTATAATTCGGCGGACGCATCTGAACGTTACTGGCGTGATGTTAAAAAATTCAGCGATAATAAAAGCTTCAAAATATACTGTTAGCCGACGTTGGACATATGTTCCAATAATTTTTGTAGGTACTTCAATCTTTTAGAAAGACTTTGAGAAGAAACTTTTATCAAGAATCTGTTTTTCCCAGGAGATAATAGCAAAAGAAAACACTTCTATAAAAATAGGTTAATAGGTTTTCGCATCAAAGATGTTGAAATTATATGTCTATTTGGTAAATTAGTCATCATTCAATATATTTAGAAATTAATATCGCGACAATAGTAGTATATGGAAATCGGTTTGATTGACTTTTCATAATTTGTGGTCTGGTGGAGCTTTAGGCGGAACTGCTCATATGTACAATGTACAAATGTATGTAAATGTTTAGGAAGAATATTAATATAAAAGCTGGAAGAAAAGACTATACAACAACAAGATAACAAGAGGCTGCCTGAGCGACCGAAAACCGGTTCTATGACGGGCTTATCGCTACGTCCCCTGTACAGAGAGAGCGCGCGGGCTTTCAATTTCTTTTCGGCTATGCTTAGTGTCTGACCGCGAGCCCGCTGCCGAACGGCTTCGTCTGTGCCTGCATATGCATGCTTTCGCACAGTGGTGCCTTTGCCTAGATCAGCTGGCTAAATTCTATATACATATATGTATATACTAATAAACTCAAAGAGACCTGCACTCATTTACAATACATATGTACATATGTTTGCATGTATCTAGACCTCATCGTCAGTTATTCAGCTTAGGTACATGTTTGATTTATTTTGATCGAATCATTTCTGATCCTTAAACAATAATATCCTATTGATTGCTACCTCAAATCTGCCCCAAGGGTAGCAATAAGGTCAAGATCTATTGAAAGTTCTTTTGTGGTGCGCTTTCGATGATGGACTGAGAATTCCTATTTCCTTTGGTTGTTTTGCCAGCTTTTTCCGACTTTGTCGTTTTGTCGAAGTACTTCAACAAATTTACACGTGTATCACTCACATGCGCCGTTGGCATGCCATTTGCTAAGCCCCCTCCCTGCCCACTATCCGCCATACCTTTGCGGGCAATCCCATACGCTACCTATACGTACATATATACCCCTTTAATTATTGCTGCCGGATGCGGGTTAGAGCGGCAGCAACACCAGCAAGCACAAAGCTACGTATGATGGGGACTCAGCCGAAAAGTGGTGGCAAAAGTCGAAGAATTTTATGAGCGCTTTGAATAAAAGGCATAATATAGGGAGTTTTCCAGAGCTTTCAAAAATTAGGTCCATACATATACTCTCTGAATCCATATATTTCATGTATTAGACATGTGAGAACCGAAAATAAATCAAGGAATTGCTCGGAGAGGTTACATATGTATGTAAGTTTTTTTTTTAGTTTAGGTAGACTAAAAATTGAATTTAAAATTATTATACATATGTACATATGTATGTAGCATGACCATTAAGCGTTCTTTATCGATCAAAAATAAATAAAACTTTGGAATTTTACATACATAGGAATTCAGGAATAAAAAAAATCACAACAAAAATGTTGTCGTTGTTGTATAGCTTTCTCTGTTTTCTTAAAGAATTATAATTAATTTGGGTTAAAACCATAGAATTGATGCCCCTGCGCCCCGTTCTGGGTTTTGGATTGGGAGTTGGGAACGCGGCAGAGTGGGAAAGGGTTGACGAAGCAAAGAAGTAGTGCCACGAAGCATTTAATAAAGAGCACGGCGCAAAAAAAAGTAAAAGAAGGGCACAGCCTTTGGCAAACTTCAGTCGATGGTGGTGGCTAGACGCCATGGCAAACGGGAAGAATGGGAGGCTTTTAGAAGTAGGAGGCAGTGGGAGAAAAATGAATCACCGGCAAATTACGGTAAGAAAGGAGAAGGTAATGGCGGAAGCAACATTCCGTTATGGCTCCTTCCGCCCGACTTCAATCTTTTATTGTTCTCAACACACCCCCACAATCGACCGTACAATCCCATTCCGTTCGGCAGCGCCGAAATTGTAAAAATTTCACAATAACTTCCAGCAAAGGAGAACAGAATGAGAAAAGGTCTTATGAAATATGCATATGATCATTTTGGCCCCGAGTCCAATCCAAAGCATTGGGACAGGCTGGGCGGGGCGTAGTCTGGGCGGAGCAAAATTTCATTAAAGTTCAAGTGAAAATTCAATGCAGCCCCTAACTTTAAGATTGTCGGACGGGGAGTCGCAAAGTAACCAAGGGGAATACCAGTAGATGAAACACACACAAAAACATCCGCAATGTGGGGAAAAAGTTGCCGGCAGAGAAATTACCTGCAAGAAAGACAAACAAATGCAGAAAAGAGAGAAAGAGAGAGGCCAAGTCCAGGTGGAAAAAAATTTCCGGCTTTTCCATGGAATATATCACAGGGAAGTCTTCAGTGAAGTCTATCCCCAAGTCGCCTGTACAAATTCAATGAAATCGCTGGAAAATATGAACTAAAATTTATTGATACGCCTGATGTGGAAATCTGTAGAGCCAGTATGAGGATCCAGGATGAGCAAGATCACGTGGGGGCTCCTAAACCACTGGAAGAGGTGCTGGAAGGTGACTGGCTGGGCACTTTGTAATGGTCAAGTCCTCGTCGATGGTGCACTCATAATCGTCTCCGTTAGCATCCTTGGCCTGAGCACCGCTGGCTTGATCGTCTTCGGACTCGCTCAAGGACTCCAGGCTGGTCTGCTTCTGCAGCTCCGCCACCCGCATCAGAAGCGGATGAATCAGCTGCTCCGGCAGACTCTTCTGGATGCTCAGTAGAAGACTGCCCGGCTTGGAGCACAGCAGGATGGCGTTGGACAAGTGGGTCAGACCGTCGTCCACGTGACCATTTATCAGCAGATACTCCCCCAGCCTGAACTCCGACTCAAAGTGCAGCTGCACGGTCGTCTTCCGTCCCACGCCGGCGGCAGCCAGCAACGGCATCACGCCTCCCCCAAGCAAACCCATCCCCATCTGGCTACTTCCCACCTCCTCGTGGGAAGTCTGGGCCTTCGCTTTGTGTTGACGACGGTCATGAACCTTGCGCTTGTAGTCCGGGTCTGCCAAGCGCTTCCGGTCAAAGTATATGCAGTATCCCAAGAAGCTGACACCGGCTGTGGCGAATATTATTAGCTTGGCCGACAACATTTTCACGAGTGTGTAATTTGGAAGTTAAAAATGGAGTTACAAACTATTTTCCAAAAATACAACAAATCACGAAAACTAACAAATTTACAATGCTAGCTCCGAACGAACTGCTCTGTGTAGGGTTCAATAAAAAACTGACCTAGAAACAAAAACCCAAAACAAACTTCAAAGAGTTTTCGAAACTCGAAACCGTATTCCCTGGCCTAAAAGCTAAGGCTACGTTGATGGCAGGCTACGAGGCATTCCGCTCTGACATTTCAGAGGGTGACCAGCTACGATCTTCCACATAGGATCTGTCTTTATTTTACCAACGAAAGACCGATCTGCAAAAATTGGGGAAATGCAAACAGCTTGAACAGCTCGATTTGCGTGTCATCGGGCCGTGACTGGGGGACTCTGTCGATTGTAATTCACAAAGCATTACAGTCGCGCATTACGCCACCGAAATTCCCAAAGGTGTTCCCAATGTCGTGGTGTGGTGTCCATGTCCATATTTATCTTTCGGTTTGGGTTCTGTCCTGTCATATTCAGCGACTGGACCAAATCCTCGTTCTCTGCTCCATAAATTGTTGGCAAGCATGTGTGCGTTGGTTGGGTGGTGATGGAAGGGGCAAATGTAGAGGGTGAGGGTGAAATGTCTGCTGTAACGCTGACGTCAAAGTATTTATCACAATGACAAAATCACTGGAGCCTGGATGGAGTCTGGAGCCCAATGCCTAGAGCAAGGACTGGATTCATTGGGGGAGGTGTTGCGCAGACATTACTTAACGGTTTAAGTGTAACACATTTACAAATTGTTAACAAACAAACAAAAACAAACAAAACAGAGAGACAGATGGACAAAGGCAAGCATAGCAGCCCACGCACACCACGCACACCACGTGCTCAGCGTTGTGATAAATGATAACAAATTAGCGGTTTGTCTTTTAAACGAAAAAAAGGCCACGCATAAGGGAGAGAAAATGCGATACCAAAGTTACCTCAATGCAATAAATCACCCCACCTGAGCAGGCCACCGCAACACACCGCACACACACTGAAACACACGAACAGCCCCAAAATAACCGAGCATATAATTCCCGCCCACAGCACTCATTCGCTATGAATGCACTCCCAAAGATTGATCTATGGAGAGACTAGAGGATGTACTCGTGTACCTTTATAAAGAGGGATCATAAATGGGGTACGGCCAGAAACTGCTAAAGCAGAATCACTTAATCTTTTGGATCTAAAAAAGGTGCGACAAAAGTTACTACCTCTCCATTATTATTTATAAACAGAGATAATTCCTTCTCGATGATTTTGTATACGATTTTTCGTGCTTCCCTGGCTTTGAACACTGCCTTGCACACTGAAAGTCAGAGCCGGGCCGTATCTTTCAGTCGATTTTCACTGTATTAAGCATACGCATACGTGTGCCAGCCAAAGAAGAACCCACCTCCAGGGGGGATTGGAGCCAGGAACGGAGTACCGGTAACGAGAGCGTGGCACAACATTTATGACTTGCACTGAAGGAGTTACATTACCCTTCGGCCCGTGCCTCTGTTCGCACTACCCCCCACCGCCCCACCACGCCCACTTTGCCACGAAGCACGTCCGTCCCACTCTTTCTATTTCTCTCTATCTCTCGCTCTCGGTGCAGGGTGTTAAGTGCCGGCAGGGAATAATTAATGATGCGGGCAGGAGATTCAGGTTCTGCTGTAGAAGTAGAGGTTCCAGGGGTTTCGGAGAAGCCCGCACCAGGCTGAGCGGGGAAAATTTTAATTATCATTTTGTGGATTCAGACGCGTTCTGAAAACTACGCAAAATTTAATGAGCGACCGCTTGCCTGGCTGCGAAATTAGAGTCAAACCGTGCTTCGTCTCTCCTTCCGGACGACGCCCCGCCAAACATGGAACCTGCACCCACTACATCCGCTGCCTCCCTGCCAACAAGGATTCAGTTTGGTGTTCCATGTTTTGGGCCCGACTTTGCTCAACTTATTTCATTACATTTGAACTAGCCGCCTGATATTTGCTTTACAGACATGCGCTCTCTAATGAACAAACTTTGTGGACTTCATGTGGGTAAACGTGAACCATCATGTCCCTTGGTCGGCTGCCGTGGGGGGTCACCAATTGATGCCAGTGTGCTTGCAGATTGCTCTGCTCTCGATTTATTGAGCAATTCTTTTAGGTAATCGTGCAGTGCTGTAAGCGGAATGATTGGGATTCCCTTCTAGCATAATTAGAAGTTATCAACTGCTGCAAGACCAGGTTGGAAAGAAAATTACTATGCGGTACTTAATTCGGTACTAGTAGATCGCTTTTATTATCACATTAAAAAAATAAGACCAAAAGGGAATTGGTATCTCACTGGTATTGGTAGACTAGAGGTGCTACGATTATGCAGCTCTTGGGGTGTAGTGCACCTGTTAATCCACATAATCATTTTGGAATATCGAGCTATAACTTAACGAGAGAGACATAACCAATTTTGTGCGAGGGGTTAGCATGAATGGTATTCGGATTGATAGAGCATTACAGAGCAGATAGGAAGAGGATGTTTGTCTGTTTTTAACGGTACTTTTTAAGTGGCCGTAACACAGTAGACAACGGCCATAAAAACCCCGACAATGTGGACGATTTATAGCAGCAGAGTGTATACACACTCGCTCCCACTATACCCTATGTGTGTACATATGTATGTATGTATAGAAATTAAATTGCAGTTGCTTCCCGCACCTCCTCCAGCACGAGACCACACTACTCATTCTCTTTCTCGCTCGCACCATCTCTCCTCTGCCCTGTGCAAGGCGCGACCTATGCGGATAATATGTAGAATCTACATTGTGTATCGACATTGTTGATGTAGATGTAGATAACATATGTAGCAAACCAAATGTAAAATGTTAAATGTTTTAAAATTCTTCATAAATCATAAGCTACTGACTGAATAGAGCCGCGTCCACAGAAGCGACTCACACGTTCCTCCTCGTTTTAATTTCCTGTGCCAGCAGGTCGACTGCTTAATCAAATTTATGATGAAACCGTGTGCCTGGCTAGCTCTCTGTCTCTCACACACCTGCAAACTCACAGAACTCCTGACCGCTTCGCCCCCGCCCGTTCATTGCTCACTCGGGCGACGCACAAAGGCGCGCTTCACTTATTTCAGTCAAATTACGGCCAATGAATATTGAAAAATCGCCCTACATACGCAAACATACGCATACGTACATATGTATGCTCCGGTATACGGGTGCGAGAGTAGAGCCGTAGCCCAAGCATGTATCGGTCGCGAAAATATTTTTTCGGTGATTCGTTTCAGTCAGCGAATCATCCGCTGGGAGGCACACCATCAATGGGGTGCGGCTCGGTTCGGTGCGGTGCGGTGCACTGGGTATGCACTATGCGGCAAATTCCATTGCGTTTGCAGGAGGAGGTGTCTGCTCAATTATCGAACAAAGTGTATTTCCAAGTCGAGATTCGATTAAAACATATTTATATTTACGCTCATTGAGTTCTATTTGCATCTCAGTGCATATATATACATTCTGTAACCATAATGCATCATAGCTGCAGAAAATCTCCTCCAAACCTCCTCCTTCGCCTTGGTAAAGTGTTCTTAATATTTATTTTTCTGGAAATTATAATTTATATTTTTATTTGTATTAAATTTGTATTTAAATCACCAACGGAACTGCACTAATAGCCTATTTACACTGACACGAGTTACCTATCGACCTATCAATTCGGAAAATCGAGCAAACTGAAACTGCAACTGCAATTATCGGTCATACTATTTTTTAATCGGAAGGGAGCGCATTTAAATCTAATTTCATTGTTCTAGCTGCGTTTGCATTGGCTTTGTTATTTTTGTGTGTGTTTCCTTTGGGATTTCCACTACGGAATTCCGCTCGTTAGGGTAATTTTAAATATTTTAAATAAAAAAATAGGAAAATTGCTATTGACTTTCCAAGCATTTTCCCCCAACGTGCGTGGAACGGCTTTTTTCCATTCGCTTAGCCACTTTTTTTTGGCATGTCGCCGTCGCTTGGCTTTTGCCGTTTGACCGGGTGCATAATAAAAATTGTCCCATATTTTTTGTCTCTATGCGGTTGGCGTTCATATTTCTGCTGTAACTGTGGCAATCGCTGGGCGTTTTCCCTTTTCACACAGACACACGGACACTGCTGCGCCGGAAAATGGTGGCAGCAATTTCTGCAATTTTTGTGTGTAGCCTGTGCTGGCATTTTATTGAATGCTATCAAACGCACACACACACACACACACACACACACACACACGAGGAGCGTGTTTTCCTCGATATTTATGCATAAATTATGGGAATCGCAATGCGTTGGCCGTCAGATGGCCAGCGAGCGCGAAAAGTGCACGAATAATTTCAACAACCACATCGATCCATGGGCAGAGACAGAAGAGGACAGGCAAGGCAGGACAGGTCCAGTGGCAATATCTAGTGGGCGAGATAATGAAAGTTAAACAAATAATCAAAAGGGAAGGGAAGGGAATGAAGCGGAACGGAATGGCGCAAGGCTGACAAACAACGGACCCCAGAAAGTGGACAGTGGGCACATTCTTCTTCTTAAGAGCAGAAAAACAGACGGGCAAGGAAGTCTCATTTTGACTTGTTGTTTTACGTAATTACTATTTATCCACCATATACTCGGCTAAATAAAGTCAGTACAAGCCATTGAGTGTTATATTATTCAAGCTATCCTGTTTAAACTTTAAAGGACTATTTTCGCCCTGCATTTCTTTGCATTTAAATGGATAGATACTAAAGCTGGAGAAACCATGGTATCCCCTGACCCAGATACCCGGATGTGCACAATAAGAAACACAAAAAGCAAGAGCCAAATGGCAGGAGGCGAGTGGCGAGTGGTGAAACCATATCCGTATTTAATGTCGGTTTAATGGCGTTGACGCAATTAAATGGCACACACACCAACGCACCAACGCATCTACATCCTGGTGTAAAACTCGTATATTCCGTATTCG